TTTCATTCTGCTGTGCATGGGGTCGCTATGAGTCAGAAGTGACTTGACGGCACCTAACAACAACGACAATAACTTCTACCACCCTGGTGTGACAACGTCATATTTTACCTGGATCAATGTAACAGCTTCCTAATTGGTTTTCCTGCTTCTATCTTTGTCCTCGCACATTTTATTCTCAATGCTTGTGAATAAACCTGAGATCTTGTCACTAATCTACTCAAAAACCTCAAATGATTCCTCATTTCACTCAAATAAGAACTAAAGTCTTTAGAACACAAAGTATTTCCAGTAGACTACAAAGCTTTTAATAATTTGCACACACTTGAACCAGCTGCTGGTCTGACTAATCATCTAGTATCTTCCTACTTGCTTATTTTGCATCACCATGCTGGTTCTTTGTAGTTCCTCTAATATGCTGGGATACTAACTTGGTAGTGTGTGCCCTCATTGACTCCTGCTCATTGCCTACTTTGCTTCTAGATATAAACATAGAACACTGCCTTTCTCCTCTCAATACCATCTTCTCAATGAGGCCTTTCTTGAACATACCATTTCACATTAATTCCAGCTGAGCCCTCCAATCTGCTCAATTTTCTCATGTTCTAAAATCCTCTGTCATTTACTTATTTGTTGCATTCGTATTTCTGCTTAACTGCTTCATAAAGGCAGAGATTTCTGCCTTCTTTGTTAGCTAATGTATCCCTAGCACCCTTGGCACATAATAGGCACCCAACAAAAACTTGTTGAATGAATGAAAGCATAAAAGAGTGAAACTACCCTGACAATTTAAAACCATAGTCAAGCTTTGATTGAATAACAGTTCTTGTTATTTTTCTGTTTTACAGTAATAATAGGTCTTTTAAAATCACTAATGTAGTGCCTAAGGCACTTGAGTCCGCTTACCAGAAGTCTGATGGTTCAAACCCAGCAGCCACTCCTTGGAAGGAAAGTTGGGCAGTCTACTTCCATAGTGATACTGCCTCAGAAACCCAAGTAGGAGTTGCTATGAATTGGGTCCGACTCGACAGTACATAACAACACAACAACAACACAATAATTATCCCATTTGCTTTGATCTGTATTTTCTGTGTTCTTTGTTGTTGTTATGTACCATCAAGTCAGACCCAACTCATATTAAGATAACTTATTTTCTCAGATGTTCTGTATAAAACCTTTTAGGAATATATTCATATTAAAAAAAATTTGGCAACATGTACTACATGATAAAATATTTTATTTTTCTCCTTGATAATTAGTTAACAAAAATAACAGATTTGTAGGGATTCCTTGATGGTAGAGAATGTTTTGAATGTGATAGGACTTTCTTTGTTGTTCCTTTAGTCAGTGCTACTAAATGGGATTAGTATTTCTCAGCTCCCATGTGTCCCTGACCAACACTTAAGTGAACACTAAAATTATTTCCAATATCTTGCTTGTTCTTTTCTATAACACTCTTATTTGACTTATTTGAGATGATCACTAACTTGTCTCCTCTCTCTCTTTACTGTAAATATATATTTAACAAATCATTTGCCATTTCAACATTACTGACTACTCTCTTTTCTCCTGGTCTATCACTTCTCATCTGGTTTCACTTTCTTGTCCACTTAAGTACCATAGTACATCGGTTTAACTACTCTATTACTATAATTTTGCCATCATATTCTCCTTGTTTTGAGCCTGAAAATCCTCAATGCTGGATCCCTCCAATCATTCGGCATCTCTTTTAGCTTGCCATCAAGTTTGGGGTAGTCACATTGTTTTCAGATTGTGTCAATGACAAGTTATAATCTCTGATTCCAGATGGCCCTCAAAATGCTTCTTGATGATTTCTGTATTTTTCCAAGGTCATCCTTCTCACTACTTTTCTTTAGTAGTCATTATAAATCTCTGTTACTCCCTTCAATCCACTGTATAATTCCTCACTCATTCTCTTTGTTCTTCTTTCCTTCCTTTTTTTTTAATTCCTTCTTAAACATTTATTGAACAATTTTCTGTGTGCCAGAAACTTGACTATCATTTTGGGATAGAACAGTAAACAAGATGCCCATTACTGCTTTTTGTCTCTTGTCAGGAAATGTTGTCTAATATACTTTTATGTTTAATAAACAAGATAGAGAAGTAAATAAGTATTTGTAGTACAAAATGAAAAATGCAAAGTGTTACAAGAACTCACAGGGTCATATTGGGACATGGAAAATTTCCCATGAGAAATATATGGAAGTAGAAAAATTACATTTAAGGGGCTGTGGTGGAACAGGAATAACTGAAGAGATAAAAACATGAGCAGAACCTCAGGGCTCCCAACTTGGCAGGTGGGAGACACTACTGATTGACTCAGTAGAACTGAAGCATGGAGTGTGAAGGATGACTAGCTATGGCCAGCTATGGCTCATCATCCCTTTTATCGCCAAGAAATGCATGCCTTCCTCATGTCAATATTTTGCTTAGCTTAAATTCTGGTTCTAACTTAATGTACTACAAATCAAGTTGCTTGAGTTGCCAATTCACAGAATAAACAGTTTACACTTTTTCTTGGTTTTCTTAACTAATTAGTTCTACAAAGTTTTAGTAGATTTTTTTTTTTCTCTTCATAATAACATTTCAAGGAAGAATTTGTTTGTATTTCCTCCAGTTGCCTGTTTTTGGACAGATTAGATAGAATTCTCCTTAGAGCACAAGCAGAGCAGGAAGATACATAGGATGCTGTCTTCCTGGGATCCTGGGTTTGAGTGGTGTTCTTACGACTGCAAATAAGGGGCAAAGAGAGAAATCCTATATAATTTTTCTTAGGATATATCATGTGAAAGCTGGATAATAAGGTAGATTGAAGAAGAATTGATGTCGTTGAATTGCAGTCTTTGCAAAGAATATTGAAAATACTGTGGATTGGCAGAAGAATGAACAAATCTGTCTTGGAAGAAGTGCAGCCAGAATGCTCTTTAGGAATGAGAATGGTGGCCAGACTTTGTCTCACCTACTTTGGTCATGTTGTCAGTAAGAACCATTCACTGGAGAAGGATATCATGTTTGGTAGAGGGTGAGTGAAAAAGGGGAAGACCCTCAACAAGGTGGATTGACACAGTGACTTCAACGATGAGCTCAAATATAGCAACGATTGTGAGGATGGCACCGGACTAGGCAGTGCTTCTTTCTGTTGTACGTAGTGCAGCTATGAGTTGGGAACAACTTGACAGGACCTAATAACAACAACTCATTTGAAATATTCATACTTATGAATAAAAAATCATATATGAAATATTGTTATTTTATTTAATGTATCCTTTAATATCAAAATTTCACACACACAAACACACACACACACACAGGCTTTTTTGCCACTCAGTTTCATTCTTCTCTGGTCTTTAGAATCTTAATGCTTCTGAGATTAAAGCCTAGGCTTTTCTTTGTGCTAATTGTCCTCTCTGTCTTTTATTCATCAAACGTATCCTCCCACTGTACAAGTTTCCTTCATGGCATCATCAAAGAACCGCAGCAAAGATAGATCAAATGATCTTTAAAACATTGTTATCAAGACAAAATGAAAACTATTGGAATTATAAGTACAATTTGATCCAGCAATCCCATTACTAGGTATATATCCTAAAGAAGTGAGAGCTAGGACAATAACAGATATATACACACCCATGTTCATCACAGCACTATTTACAATAGCAAAAAGATGGAAACTGGAAACAACCTACATGCCCAGCAACAGAAGAATGGATAACCAAACAATGGTACATACACACAATGGAATACTATGCAATACTAAAGAATAATGTAGGATCTACAAAACACCACATAATGTGGATGAACTTGGAGGACAATATGCTGAGTGAAATAAGTCAATCACAGAAGGACAAATATAGTATTAGTTTATTATCGTAAAAAGTCAAGGAAAGGTTTATATATGGAAGGAAACTTTCTTTGTTGGTTACCAGGGGAAGTAACACTGTAAAAATAAAATAAAAATAAAATAAAAAAAAGAAAAAAGACAAAATGAAAATTAAATAGCTAAAGAAGCAAACACATTTGGGGAAATGGTAATTGGTTAATTGACTGTTCATCCAAAATTACTTTTTCTTTAAAATAATTATTGATTAGCCTTATACTTTAGATCCCATCCCCTTTTGTGTATCTGTGACCCAAATTTTTTGTAGAAATTTGTCTTTTTATCAAGTTTTTCTTATTAAAAGCGTAATAAAAAAACTTAGAAGTAGTAATTGTTTTATATATATATTTTTTCTGTTCAAAGGCTCTTGGGTTTATCTGTCTTAATAAATCTTAAATAGACATTTTCTAAATGAATGAATATTTTGTGGATTTAGGTTAATATCCACTTAGGCCTAGAAATGTCACCTTCTTTAATGTAGATTGGTCTTTGAACCTAGCTTGTTTTAGAATTCTTATGAGGTAAGAAAATTTTGAGACCAATCTAGGATGCCATTGAATTCATTGAATTTTCTGAATAATTAAGAACCCACACAGAGTAGACTCCAATTTATCCTCATTTATTGGATATTTTCTATACTAGGCTGTAAAGAATCTATGTTTAGAAAGGACTGTTACTCTGGAGGTTGGGGCTAGAGCATGTGGAATGTGAGGGTGAGGAGTCTTCTTGGCAAAGCAAATGATCTGAAAACTATAATTGAAAGTAGATGACAATCAAATGTACAACTGATGAGATGACACATTTATAGGGTTGTAAACTAGAGAGAAACTTGATTTTGGCAGAAGTCTTCTGGAGAAAGGCCATGGGTTAAGTCAGTAAATATTCTAGCTGAAGTACCCATGGGTACATAAATAACAGCAATGACTACAGAGATGACTATGACCATTATTGTCATTTGTGTAGAATTATAAAAGTACATATAGGTATGTAAGACATTACAAAGGCTGTAGTATAAACACATTTTAATTCACTTGAATCTTTGTCAACCATTGCTTGGTAAAGAAACACCTCTTTCTTGTATTATATACATGAATGTATTTCACAGGTTTACAGCAGTTTATTGGAAGAATGCAAGATTTTCGGTTATATCAAGTGGCTCTTACAAACAGGTAAGCAAAGCATAAGTGTAAGGATAGTGTACAGATGAAATCAGTTAAATAAGAGTAGCATGAAGATTATAGCATTTTTCCTCTTTACAGCATTTAGCAAATGTCACCTAATTAAGGTTTACATGATTTGGCTTATGGTATTATTCACTGTTGCTATCTTATACTATGAAATATTATTTATGAAAGATTTTCTCCAAGAAAACTTGATTTTTGAACAAGTAGTATAGAATTTGGAATGCAGTTGCTTAAAATTCTATATGAAGTAGTTTCTAATACTTAAGAAACTGCTATAATTACTTTTTAAAATAGCTTTTTTTTCATTTATAACTTAGTAGAGAAAGTAGAAAAATGAAAATGGTTATTTATTATGATGTAGGGGAAAGCCTCAAGAGACTGAGCTGTTAGACTTGGAGGCAAGAAAAATGAATAATTTGAACTATTGTTTTATAGTTTACCTATCATCTAACTGTCTGTCTGTTCTCTATCTATATATCTAATTTCCATTGAACAAATAATTATAGGGACGAGTGTAGGTTTAATGAATTATTTCTTCATCTTGAGAGTAGGTGGGAAATTTCCCTTGGATTTGTAGAGGTACATATCTTTCCATTCTGTTCAGAATGACTCAAGTGAAATATTGTTTAAGGTGTCCCGTGAAGTTCCTTTCTTGATCTATAATTTGAAGATATGGATAACTTGCATGGATTTGTGGATCCATTGAAGGTCAAAAAGACATTTTTTTTTTCATACATATTTCCTCAAGGAAGATGTAGATTAATGTAGTGAATCTCCAAACAATAGAATTAGCTCTTGTTAATTTCAGAAGCATTGCTCCTGAGGTGATGCTATTGTTAGCGACATGCCCATTAGCTCTATAAACATTCTCTCTTATTAGCCTGTATAATCAAGAGACACCTGAATTAAAAGGTGTTGTAACACTGAAACACATTACTGTGGAGCTTTACTGCCATCAGCCTTACTGCCATCAGCCTTACTATCTTTTGAATCACCTTTCTCTAAAATTTTCAAGGATAATGATGCAGTAATTTTTGGGAATAATTGTTTGGAAGCAGATATTTCATACTAGTCAGTCACTTTTAATCCCATTCAAAAGTGTATTAATTGAAAAATATTGATAATATTTAAAAGAGGTATGTGATTTCATGTGACTTAGTGAATAGAAAAGCTATCTGACAATTCCTTTACTCTGTTGGGGTCTGGGAAGAAGCAGCGTGGTCTCCCCAGTTAGTCTTGATTACTGGCATTGCCTACATGAAATGTCTGGAAAAGTGTTATGTGGAAAAATGCTTATAAATAGAATGACTAATTCTGATCTAGAACAGTTATATTGCCCTTAATGGAAAAATTAAATATGTCTGGCTGGACTTGGCATTCTTCTTTGACTGTTGGCAGCTGTCACATGATCTGAAGCCATTGAAGCATTTTAGGATGCCAAAATTTGTACTGGTGAGTCACAGGAAACCATTTACAAATGATCTTGGTCTTAGTTCCTTTACCCAAAAGAGAAGCAGATAAAATGATATTTACTTTCTTTTTTTCCCATGTGAGGACTGGAGATCCTATCTATAATTCTCATTATTTTCAGTTTATCATCATTTACTCTTAATGGTAAATTAAGTTAACCTAAATTAATGTTATCTTTCTATATTACTACAAGTAGGCACAATAAAATATTTTAATATTTAAATAAATTTATTGATAATCAGAAAGGGATTGTGATATTTAAATTATAATCATAATCATACTTATGAAATAGCAGAAAGGAATAAAAGCTTTGTTCTCAATAACTACTTAAAAAGAACATGTGACAATTATTTCATGGAATTCATGCTCTTTGTTTATATAGTTATATCATATTTACTATAACATATGCCTTTTAGGAGAATGAATGTATGTATTTGTCTAGGAGTAAGTTTGATTTTATGTTCTGTTTAAAAAATTAAAAAAGCTAAATGGATAGTTGTCAAAATATTAAAATAGTGGTACTTATTGTAACGACTCTTAAAAGTCTTCACTATTGAACTACTTGTCCTTACAGTCTTCCTCTTGGCTCCCACAGAGAGATTCTGGAAGTGTTTACTGGACAGTTGCTCAGAGTACACATCCAGTCCCAGTGCCGCTGTCCTGGAAGCCACCCTCGGGTCCATCCTTTGGTGCAGCGGTACTGCATTCCTAATGATGCAGAAGACACAACTGAGAACAGAGTGTCAAGGCTGAACCCCAAAGCTCATCCTCTCTCTTTTGTCAATGATAATGATATTGGTACTTCTTGGGTTTCACATGTGTTTACAAACATTACTCAACTTAATCAAGGAGTAACTATTTCTATAGATCTGGAAAATGGACAGTTTCAGGTAATTAGAAATACTGAGGAAAAATTTAAATATGCATTTGAATATTACCTCACTAAGAATTCCTGGTGGTGCAAAGGTTAAATGCTTGGCTGCTGACAGAAAGGCTAGTGCTTTGAACCCACCAGTGGTGCTGCAGGTGAGAAAAGACCTGGTGAACTACGCTTTTAAAGATAATAGCCTAGAAAACCTTATGGAGCAGTTCTACAGTACCCTATAGCATCTCTATGAGTTGGTATTGGCTCCTGGCATACAAAAACAAAAAATAATTAGAACTACACCATTATAACATATGGCGTAAAAGTATCCGAAAAGGATATACCTGGCCTAATTTTTTAGAACTTTGTGTCAAAATCATACTTATGAAATAGCAGAAAGGAATAAAAGCTTTGTTCTCAATTAACTACTTAAAAAGAACATGTGACAATTATTTCATGGAACTCATTTATATCAAGCTTAATATTAATTGGAACTTTGATTTATAAAGACTTTGAAAAAAGGGGCAGATATACAATGATACCAGACTCACTGCCATCAAGTCCATTAGACTTAGTGACCCCTTCTTGGACATCTGATGGGGCGTTTCTTTTTGGAAGTAGATGCCCAATCTTCCTTCTGAGGAGTGACTGGTGGGTTTGAATCATCAGCCTCTGGTTAGCAGTCAAAAAATGCCTTAGGCACTACACCACCAGAGCTCCCATACAATGATAGAATGTGCAACTTTTACTAAAGGGATATGAAGTTTCTGGATATCTAATAAGTATCTGATAATTATAATTATGAGGAAATAAATTTAACAATTCCATAGTTTGATTGATACTGATGGGTAGAACTGAAAACTTCAATTGCAATAATTAATGTATCCATTTTCAGGTATTCTATATTATCATTCAGTTTTTTAGTCCACAACCAACAGCAATAAGGATTCAAAGGAAGAAAGAGGACCGCCTAGATTGGGAGGATTGGCAATATTTTGCTAGAAATTGCAGTGCTTTTGGAATGAGAAACAATGGAGTTTTGGAAAATCCTGATTCTGTCAACTGTCTTCAGATTCCCAAGTATGAATGTTTTAAAAACAATTTTCTTTTAAGCTTTCAAGAGTTCATTTTAGTAAATTAATGGGTTAGCAGTAACCTACATGTAAGATAGCTCACTAGGCTAGCAGAGACCTCCCTCTACCATCAACTTTACTGAAGCACATTCTCCCAAGTCTCCTCTTTAAGTTGAGATCGAAGCTATGTTTAAAGTATTTGTAAAAGACTTGAAAGTGTTTGTCTTGTTTACAGACAAACTGGGGTTTTGCAATCTGATTTTCAGATTATTTAGCAAGATTATTTGGTTCTATATTAGTAGAACTATTACAATACCCTCAAGGAAACATCTTTAAATGTCCTTATTATTATTATTATATACTGTTTTCTTATGAAGGAGCCCTGGTGGTGTAGTGGGTAAGACATTTGGCTGCTAACCAGTAGGTCAGCAGTTCAAATCCACCAGCTGCTTCCTGGAAGGAAGATGAGGCAATCTACTTTTGTAAAGGTTTACAGCCTTAAAAATTCAATAAGGGTCGCTATGAGTTGTAATCAACTCCATAGCAGTGGTTTTGGTTTCCTTATGAGATACAGGGAGTATGTTTGCTTTCCAAAATGAAGAGTTTACTGATACTGTGTAATAATATCTCAAAGCTGTGAATAGACTTGCATTATTTCAAATTTCTGTCATCAACAGCTTCACTCCGTATTCCCATGGTAATGTTACATTTAGCATCCTGACACCTGGACCAAATCATCGTCCTGGATACAGTGACTTCTATAACACTCCATCTCTTCAAGAATTTGTAAAAGCCACACAAATAAGGTTTCATTTCCATGGGCAGTACTATACAACTGAGACTGCTGTCAACTTCAGGCATAGATACTATGCAGTGGATGAAATCACCATCAGTGGGAGGTAGGGTTGAATACTAAGCTTTCGATTGGAGTGTGCTTTTTACTATGGATTTTGTTTACAGCAAGGTTTTTGCCATACTTATTTAGAAAATACATTAACGAAGATTTTAGCGCAAGCCAGATTTCTGTCTTCGAGTTTTTCTTTTTTTTGAAATTTATTGTGGTTAAATACATACAGCATAAATTTTGCCATTTCCCATTTAAAACATACAGTTCCATGGCATTAATTATATTCACAATGTTTTGCAACTTACCACTGTCTATTTCCAAAACTTTTTCATCACCCTGAATAGAAACTCTACTGATTAAGCAATAATTCCTCTCTCCTCCCTTCTTTCTCTTTAATTTAGTTTATTTCCTTATGCATGTATCTATTATCGATATTTCATATAAATGGAATCATACAATATTTTCTTTTGCATATAGCGTATTTTGCTTAGTGTAATGTTTTCAAGTTTCATCCATGTTGGAGCATGTATTATAATTTTATTCCTTTTTAAGGCTGAATAATACAACATTTTCTTTGTCCTTCAACTGTTAATAGACATTTTGGTTATTTCCACCTTTTGGCTATTGTGAATAATGCTATTAAAAGCATTGATATACAAGTATCTTTTTTGAGGCCTTACTTAACTTCTCTTGGGTATAAACCTAAGAAAGGAATTTCCCAGATTCATGTCTTCAAGTGATTTCCTACTCAAGGGCTTTTTGGGGACATTTATGTGCAAGTCTTTCCTGTATATAATATTGCCTTGCTATAGAATCAATTTGTAATCGTTTTTTAGTTTAGATGTTACGATATCCTGAATCCAAAATAATTTGCCAAATATTTTGCTTGGGTTGTTCTGGAACTGTATTTCAAATATTCCTGAAAAGCAAAGAGAAGCAAAATTTGAAGTTGAAACTATAGTATCAGGTAGAGCAGGATAGTTTGTACACATGTTCTCCCTGAGTTCATAGTTCTGTGGGGAATATTTGTTTTTCATTGGAGGAAATTTCTGATATGCTGCAAGTAATTTATAATTATGTGACCATAATGATAACAAGGCTCAAAGTATTAAAAAAATAAAGATATGGAAAGCTACTAGGCAGCATATGATCTAATATGCTAATGGCACATATATAGAATATATTTAGAATGAGATAGTGATAGAAAAATGATATGCCTTGTGAGTAAAGTACTTGTTTAATAATAGACCACAATAGCAATGCTGTTGTTATTGTTAGATGTCATTGAGTCCATTCTGACTCATCGTGGTTCTATATAATGCCCTATACAATGGCAGTATATAAGCATTGTTTTTTTGTTAAGTAATAGTGTAAGTGGAAAAAGTAATACTAATAAATACCACCTAATTTTGAACTAAAAAACTAAGATACTTGAAATTTGTCAAGATTATTCTGTGGTTTATTCTGAACTTTATATTCTTACCTTTGAATAGTTCAGTAAATGCCCCCCATGTGACATTTCAACCACTACCACCTGACTTAAATGTTGTTCTTATTAGGTGCCTTTGAGTCACTTCCAACTCATAGTGACCCTAAGTTCAGTGGAACAAAACATGGCCTGATCCTTCCTCATCCTCATATGCTTTAATCTACTTGAGCCCATTGTTGTGGCTACAGGGTCGTCGATCTCATTGAGGGTTTTCCTCTTTTTCGTTGTCCCTCTGCTTTAAAAAGCATAATGTCCTGCTGCAGGGGCTGGTCCCTCCTGATCACATGTCCTAAATACAAGAGTCTTGCCATCTTCATTTCTAAGAAGCATTCTGACTGCACTTCTCTAAGACAGATTTGTTCATTCTTTTGTCAGTCCACAGTAAATTCAATATTCTTCACGAACACCATAATTCAAATGAATCAGTTCTTCTTTGGTCTTCCTTTTTCTTTTGTCCAGCTTTTGCATACATAAGAGGTGCTTGAAAATACTATGGTTTGAATGAGATACACCTTAGTCCTCAAAGTGACATCTTCGATCTAACAATTTAAAGTGGTCTTTTGCAGCTGAATGGAGCTCTGGCAGCACAGTAGTTAAGGCATTCTGCAGCTAATCAAAAGGTTGGTGTTTTGAATCCACCAGCAGCTCCGTGGGAGAAAGATGAGGCTGTCTGCTTCTGTAAAACTTTACAGCCTTGGAAGCTTGATGGGCAGTTCTACTCTCTCCTATATGAGTTGGAATCAACTCAATGGCAGTGTTTTTTTTTTTTTTTCCCACCATATTTGCCCAGTGCAATACACTGTTTGATTTCTTGACTGTTGTTTTCATATGAGTTGATTGTGGATCCAAGTAAAAAGAAATTTTTGACAACCTCAATGTTTTCTCCTTTTATCATGATATTGCTTACTTGTTAACTTGTGAGGATTTTGGTTTTCCTTATGTTGAGATATAATCCATTCTGAAGACAGTAGTCTGATCTTCATCAGTGTTCTGGTTACCTAATGCCACTTTGACAAGAATATATACCATATGGGATGGCTTAAACAAACAGTTTATTTTCGTATAGTTCGGGAGGCTAGAAGTCCAAGTTCAAAGTGCCAAGCTCTAGGGGCTGGGTGAAAGCTCCTCAGCCTTGGGCTTCAGCTCTGCCTCCAGTTCCCGGCCCACTGAAGCTAGAGGCTTTTCTTCACTCAGACAGCTGCTGGCTGCTGAGGCTGCCAAGTCCTAAGTTGACAAGTAAAAAGGCACAGTCCTGATGTTACCAAACCACACAACAGGTCATTAATTCAAGTCCATTTTAAGTCCCAAAGTCAGCAGCACAGTCAGGAACAATGACACAGCTACATGCAGGGTCCAAGCATGCCGTAAGCTATAAACCATTCCCCAAGGCTTCTCCTTATGTACAGGAAGCAGACTACATTCCCTAAGGTAGCTACTCAGCTGCTCACAGTAGATTCCACCGTGGAGTTGATTACCATTCTCATCATGGGGAATATTACATCTAGCTGCCCAGCCATTCAAGTAAACCCAGCCAAGTTGACACAAAAACTGGACTACCACAATCAGTAAGTGCTTGAACTCCTCTTCACTTTCAACAAGCAAGTTCTGTATCTGCATATCACACATTGTTAGTGAGTCTTCCTCCAAGATACTGTGTTCTTTATCATATAGTCCAGCCACTCAGATAACTTGCTCAACATAAAGATTGAATAGGTACAGTGAAAGGGTATGACCCTGATGCACTATTTTTTCTGATTTGAAACCACGCATTATCCCCTTATTCTAGTTGAACAACTGCCTCTTTGTCTATGTGAGGTTCTGCATGAGCACTACTAAGTGGTTTGGAATTCCCATTCTTCTCAATGTTATCTATAATTTGTTATGATCCACACAGTTGAATGTCTTTGCATAGTCAATAATATACAAGTAAAGATCTTTTTGTTATTCTTGGCTTTCAGCTATGATCCATCTGGCATCATCAATGATATCCTTCTTTCCACATTCTCTTTTGAATCTGGCTTAAAATTTTGGTGCTCCCTTGTTGATGCATTACTGCAAGTGTTTTTTAATTATCTTCAGCAAAATTTTACTTTCATATGAGATTAATGATATTGTTAAATTATTTCAGGATTGCATTTGGTTACCTTTCTTTGGAATGGGCATGAATATGTAACTTTTCTAGTTGGTTGACCAGGTAGCTATCTTCCAAATTTCTTGGCATAAATGAGTGAGTGCTTCTATCGTTTCATCATTTGTCAAAATATCTCAGTTGGTATTCTGTAAATTCCTAGAGCTGTGTTTTTCACTAATGCCTTCAGTATTGCATGAACTTCCTCTTTCAATACATGGGTTCTTGATCATATGCTAACTCCTGAAATGGTTGAAAGTTGACCAATTCTTTTTGGTACAGTGACTATGTATATTCCTTCCATCTTCTTTTAAAGATATTTTCAATATTTTGCTCACAGAACCTTTCATTTTTGCAATTTGATGCTTGAACTTTTTTTTTTTAAAGTTCTTTTAACTTGAGAAATGATGAGTGTGTTCTTCCCTGGGGTTTTCTAAGTTCAAGTCTTTGCACATTTCGCTAAAATACTTCACTTCATCCTCTCCAGGTGTCCTTTGAAATCTTCTATTCAGCTTTTCTATGTCATTATTCTTCTATTCACTTTATTTTATTATTATTTTTTTACATTTATTGTCGTGAAAACATACACAACAAGACATTCATCAACATAACAACTTCTACATTTATAGCTCAGGGACATTGATGACGCTTTTCATGTTATACCACCATTATTGCTATCCTTTTCCAAAATATTCCACCACCATTAGCATAAACTCAATGCCCCCCAAACAAAAACTTCCTTTTGTACCCTGTCCCTTACCCCTGCTAACCACTAATAGTCTTTGGTTTCTCTCTCTCTCTCTCTTTTTTTTTTTTTTATCTTTCTTTTAACCTATCTAGAAATTTTCTCTCCCTTCCCATTCCATCCTTGGTAACCAGCAAAGAAACTTTCTTTCCATGTATAGACTTTTCCTTGACTTTTTACAAAGTGGATTAATACAGCATTTGTCTTTCAGTGGTTGACTTATTTCACTCAGCATAATGTCCTCCAAGGTGATCCATGTTATATAGTGTTTTGTATATTCTACATTATTCTTTAAGATTGTGTAGTATTCTATTGTGTGTATATATCACAGTTTCTTTATCCATTCCTTGGTTGATGGGCACTTAGGTTGTTTCCATCTCTTTGCTATTGTGAATAGTGCTATGATGAACATGGCTGTGCACATATCTATTCATGTCTTACTTCACACTAGTTTGCTGGGTCAAATAGTATTTCTATTTCCAACTTTTTAAGGAATTGCCATGGTGATTTCTGTACTGGTTGTATGATTTTACAGTCCCAATCTCTCCACATCCTCACAAGCATTTGTTATTCTCTCTCTTGTTGAACTTTGCTATTAATTCTGGGGTGAGATGGTATCTCACGGTTATGTTGATTTGCATGTCTCTGATTGACTTGAGGGCACATAACAACAGCAACAACAATCACTAA